CATGGAATTTTAACGTAAAGTCCAGAGACTGCCACTTGTTTAAGGGTTTCAGCGCAAAAACACCCAGAGTTTTCAAAGTCCGAGTGTTGGAGGTAAAACTCCTGGAAATTGATTGTCCCTCCTGGAAATTGGTTTGCACACCTAAAGCCCTTAGAAATCGCAATCATTCGGTACTTTACGGAAGGACGTATCCAGAATCAGAATCGTTCAGATGAATCAGAATCAAACTCAGAATTGTTTAGAATTCGACAGTACCTCGGATTGGAAAACACCACACACGAAACACAGCGCGCAGAAGGCCCTCAAAAAGCCCGCAAGCTGCCGAAGCACGGAAGAAGCGTTCATGCCCGCTCAGTTTCAAAAGACAAGACAGCCCGATGAACCGGATGTGGTGAAATTGTCTGACATTTGTATGGCTCTCATAGTTCACAATGCCACGGACAGACCCCGTTTGCGGAACACCAAGCTGCTTTGAGAATCGCAGACCCCCTTGGTGTTTTAGGAAAGAGGCAAAGCATGCTTAAAGTCAGTGACCTCCGGAATCTGCTTTGAAGCGACAAGGAAGTCGTGGGGATTGGAATCCCACATGTTGGTGTCAAAGAAAAGTGGGCCACGTCAAGGAAGCTGGCGACCTCAGTTCAAGAGATGCTGCGGCAGTTGCCGATAGAATCACAGCCTGCTGGCCTTATTGGGTGCAGACTTCTTTGTTTCCATGGTGCAGTTATTATTCTTTGTTCTTGGGTCATCAATCATGCAGACTTATTGTTATTATTCAGGCGGGTTGACGTTTGGGGATTCTTTTCTTCGGCTCCCCGAGTGTGTGGAGCCCTGTCCGCGTTTCCGGTCGAGAAGCCCTTTAGAACGAACAAGCAAAGATGTTGGCGTGAAACGTCCGCCTGAAGAAAAGATGTGTGTGTGTGTGTGTGTGGGGGTGTGAATTGTGAAATTGTGAATTGTGGTAGTGTCAATGGGTGTGAATTAATGTGGAGTATGGCTCGTTATATTGGCATATCTCGTCCACTGCGATAATGTACGTGCGTGCATGCGTGCATGCGTGCGTGCGTGCGTGCGTGCGTGCGTGCGTGCGTGTACGGCCGCGTCGCGGCAGTGTATGTGTGTGTGTGTGCGTGCGTGCGTGCGTTGCGTGCGTGCGTGCGTGCGTGCGTGCGTGCGTGCGTGCGTGCGTGCGTGCGTGCGTGCGTGCGTGCGTGCGTGCCGTGCGTGCGTGCGTGCGTGCGTGCGTGCGTGCGTGCGTGCGTGGGTGTGTGTGTGTGTGTGTGTGTGTGTGTGTGTGTGTGTGTGTGTGTGTGTGTGTGTGTGTGTGTGTGTGTGTGTGTGTGTGTGTGTGTGTGTGTGTGTGTGTGTGTGTGTGTGTGTGTGTGTGTGTGTGTGTGTGTGTGTGTGTGTGTGTGTGTATGTGTGGTGTGTGTGTGTGTGTGGGCGTGTGCGTGTGCGTGTGCGTGCACGTGCGCGTGCGCGTGTGCGTGTGCGCGTGCGTGTGCGCGTGCGCGTGCGCGTGCGGGTGCGCGTGCGCGTGCGGGTGCGTGTGCGCGTGCGCGTGCACGTGCGCGTGTGCGTGTGCCTGTGCGTGTGCCTGTGCGTGTGCGTGCGCGTGCGTGCGTGCGTGCGTGCGTGCGTGCGTGCGTGCGTGCGTGCGTGCGTGTGTGTGTGTGTGTGTGTCAACGTCAATGTGTCCAGACTTTGTGTTGGCCTTATCGCCTTGGGCAGCCACTGGCCGTTTTTTGATTCCATGCCCTAGCAGTTGCACGTGCCATTTTGCGTAGGATTGGCCGGCAACCAGTACTGCGGTGGAAGCCTTGGCACGAACTTCGGCAGCTGGCATGTGTTGACAGCCTCCGTTTGGTTTGTTTGTTGTTGGCCATATTTCCACTAGGTCTCGGGTTTGAGCCACAAATTTGCCCAGACCTGAGGCGACGCGTGCTCTCAGGGCAAGTCCAGGCCTGACGTACGGGGGACTTGGGGCTGCCCAACACATTGAGACGGCAATTTGGTTGGCGCATGTTGGCGCTTGAGAGGAACCCCCATTTCTATCGGCCTTAATTTTTGGGGCACACCCAAATCCTAAGTCGCTCATGTGTTCAGCACCACAGTGCACATATTGATGCAGCATCATGCGGCAGAAGTCTGTGAGGCATGCAAGTTTATTTTGACACAATGAATAGGCTTAGGACAGGTGAGAAACTACGTAAGTTCAATGTTGCGTGGCGGGAGGAAAGACCCAGCTCAGTGATATGTTGTTGTACAAAAACAATTATTTATATATGTATATGAATACTAGTGTTACATATATATATATATATATATGTTTACACAAACAACCTCACACAGCAATCAGCATGCATCGAAGCCGCTCACCATCAGTGCATGTTCGCACCTTGGCGTGGAGTTGTTCTGAAGTCTTCGGTGGCTGTCCGAAAATGAATCCATAGAGGTCACAAGCCATAAGCCATAAGCCAAAAGCATTGGCTACTTCACACATTTACGCAGCCTAGTGTCTCATTTGCGGCTGGGTGATACGCAGATGCACATATATCTGGCTTTGCACATTCAGCTTTGAACCTGCACCTGCCATATTGCAACTGCACCCTGGAATTTAAAATGGAATCGCAGGGATGGCTCGAACGGAATTCCTTTGGAAACGGTTGCTGCGTGTTTGGGCGCCTCTGAGCTTGGGATGAGACGGAAAAGCACGCCACAACAAAACGAACTTGACGGTGTCCTCATGTGTTGAGACGTATCCGTTTTAGTCTCCGGAGGTGTTTGATTAAAGTCTTGCAAGTATGGTCCAATGGTGATTGCACGGCTTTGTGTCCAGATAAAGTTCCAAGCTTCGCGAATGAATGGTCCATTGCCACCCAGTCAGAGGCGTTTGCTTGCTGTTCCTTCTTTCCTGATTTCTTTCCTTCGAACTTAGCCAGGCAACACAAGGGATTGCCATGTCATGGCCTTTTGACAGGTACAACTAGAAGAAGAACGTTCAAAGCTTGGCACACTTTCAGAAGTTTTGAATCGGTCCCTTTCAAAGGAGCGCTCAAGTGAGAGATTGGCCTGCACCAGGATCTACAATGGGTCTCCACGGTCCAGGCATGGAAAGCTTCTAGACGTGCAAGCCGTTACTCGTGTCAGCCAATCAACCAGATAGGTCCTTTGGCCTTGGCGTTGTCAGGTTCTGGTGTGGATTATTGAACCTTTGACCTTCTGATATGGACCTGTTTCTGAATTGACTGACCTGAAATGAACTGTTGCTCATCCCGTGTTGAAATATGTGTAGTTCTTGCCCCAAAAGGACAGCCTTTCGAGATTTTACTTATTTGGACAAGCAGGCGTGTAGACCATGGAACCGCCAAGCATCTTGGACACGGAGACGAACCCTTTGTCGGTTGCATGCTATCCCGTGGGCAGGACCACCTTGTAGCATTTGAGGCTGGCTTGCGGAGTTCTTTTCATATATGTGCCATGGTCGAACAACCCCTTTGCTTGGGGTTAACAGGATAGTAGTAAAACCCCTGTAATGCTTCCTATTAAGGAAGCCATGACCATAGGCCATAGAATATTTTCCTTGGCACGTACCTGCAGAGGCACGGAGTTGCCAATGCCCACCGTGAGCAATTTTCTCAGCCCCGTTTCAAATTCCTGGGCGCTTTGCCCTTGATGTGGACGTCCGCCATCCCATGGATCCAACACGAATGTGGCCGAAACCGACACCGCCACACGGGTATCAACCATCTCTGCAGGGTTTTAATTGGTCACCCGTCTCGGGGCCCCAAAAGTCAAAGAGGTGCTTTAGGTTTTACAATGGAACCATCTTGGGTTCAAGTTATGTTGGGTTGACCTTGACTCAGTCACTGTCCCATCGCTCCCTCCAGGTGACCCAACTAGTTGAGGTCGACTTTGTCAGACTGGACACTGGAACTGACACATTTTTTGCAGGAACACCTGAGGCAGCTAAACTCGACTGCGGTGGTCTATTCCATCGTCACCCCCCACCCCCCGCCCCCGTCGAGAGAGGTCGGAGCTGTGCCGGCGGCCTTACACCCACGAGCTGCTGTGGTCCTGCAAGCGGCTCCTCAGCCGAGCCCGGGGCCCCAAGCACGGTTTGCCTCTTCCACTGTTTGTGGGAGGAATACGCCGCCTGGCGGGTAGTGTAGAAAGCCTTTTCAAGGGAGGCGGTTCATTTCGGTCGAACAGGCGGCACCATGTCCCCAAGGCGCCTTGGGGGCGTTGGCAGCTCAGGTGCCCTCAGGCCCCCATCAAGCGCAGGCTGTGCCAGCGGCTCAGTCGAGTCGTAGCGGAGACATCGGAACGAGAGACGCGACAGAGCGCCATCCCAAGTTTCGCGCTTCTCGGCAGACAAACTGGATGAACTGGGATGGGCTTGTTCTTTTTGGCTATGGCGGAAATTGAACTGGGATGCTCTGGAAGTGTGTGAGCATGTGCGTTTCGAGCGTAGCTCTTTGATCTAGTCTCAAGATTGCACAACCATCCAGTAGAAGCCTGTTAAAACATTTGGCAGTTCATTCAACGCAAGGTGAATGACCGCAGATGGTTGGGCTTCTTTCGGTTTCCTTGAAAAACACCAGCCGAGACGAACGGTCCCTGATTTTTAGAGTCACCCACCTACTCCTTGTTACCCCCTTCAAGAGACCTTTTAGCAACAATTCTAGCACAGTCTAGCTATACACGCGATTCCAGGGTCCTCGTTTCAGACAGTTTCCACGAGTAAAGACACATCAATACCAGATTCTCAAAAGCATGAGGGTTTCAAACAGCCACAGAAGGAATTCATGCAGCTTTCAAACCATGCCGCCAAGAAACGTGCTTTACTTAACGGGAGTCTTGCTGGTCCAAGTAGTGTATCCAAGAGAATTGGTCGAAATTGGTCTAAACACCCAGCCCAGGCTTCCTTTTGGAAGGGGATCTTGTCCATCGAAGCATGCAACAGGTCGCGCACCCTGACTTCCCAACCAAGGGTGTTCGGCGGCTATTCGAGTAAGGGGACCCCCGCTCAAAAATATATCATATATAATCCGCTCCCCCTATTAATAAATACGCCCCCCCCCCCCCCTATTATAAATAAATCCACCCATGCAGTCAGGAGAGAGACAGTCGCAGCTAGACAGCTTTTGGGGACATGTTTTCTTTTGAGGGACACCCCAATAACTAAAGGGCCCAGCTTTTGGGGAAGCAACCTATTGGGGAATTGAGGAACCCACCTTTTGAAAAGTGAGGCTGGAAGCTTGCTAAAAGTGCCCCCTAATAAGGATTCCAAGACTTTAGTATTGGTTTAGTATTGGCGCAATGGAAAATCAATTGTGCGGAGTGGAAATCTGGCCTTGGGCCCCGGATTTGCATTTATTATTAATGGGTGGCATTCATTAATAGGGGGAGGAGATTATATATATACACATATATATGCACCCCCCCCCCATGGACCCTGGTTTTACTGCCTTTTGGGGATGGTTTTGAATATAGTTTAGTAAGGATGTAGTTTTCAATCATGTGTTTATGTTCAATTACAGCTTAAACAAGCAAATCCTTTCCAAATAGCAGCTACATGAAAATGTAACTATATATTTTCGGCTAAACTCCAACTAATCTATAACACAAGAAGTTAGATGGAAGTGTTTTTCCCAAATATAATCCAAGTGTTAAATATAATCTAAGACGAACACAACTCAATTTGCTTTTGATAATATCAAGTGAATAGAGACTACTTCTCAACTATACTTCATATTAAATATGGCTAAACATTCAAGGGACTTCTAGAGGGAAATTAAAAATACGATTTGTGTTATTTACATTCTGGCCCTTTTGTAGCATAAGAAAGGTCCGACATTGAACTTGTTAGACGGTGTTCCAAAGGGAAATTTCAAGGGAAGAGAGGTTCAAAATCTAAAACTCGAAACAGGGTCTAGCTAAACCATTGCATTTAAAGTTCTATTTGCGCAGGAAAGTTAATTCTATCTCAAAAGGTGGAGGTAGTAGATGAGCAAATGTGGATAGGTAGTTCAAGAGGGTGGGGACGGTGTGTGAACGTACATACATATGTAGATCTATATATACACATACATACATACATATATATATATATATATATATGTACATATATAGTATCCCCAATGATCCTGCACCTCCTCATACAATACTGGAAAATACAGTATTTTTGAGCGTTACACCTGCCTTTGTTTACCTCCTGGAAAGGGGTCAACATGAGCATACCTGACATGAAGCTCACCAAAAGCACTTGAAAGTTTGTCTAACCAATAACTTGAAAGCGTGTCCACTGGATCGCTAAGCACTTGAAAATATGCTACTATCGGATGGAAGATTCAAGATTGAAGATTACACAGAAAACTTTCCTGAGAATTGTCAATCCTGGCCAAACCCAAATAACATTCAATTTCTTCTAACACTTGAAAGTGCTTTATCACTGGATTGGGGATTCAATATTGAGGAGCCCACAAACCACCACTTTCCTGAAAATCATCCATCCTGGTCAACCCCTAAAATGGTCAAGTTGTTCTATCAACTCGAACATATTTTACCACTGGATTGAAATATTTCACGGAAAACTTTCCGAGAATCTTATTGAACACCGAGAGTATTGGGACAACCCTGGAATTGTTAAAACTTTTTAAAAATTATGGGATTCAAGATTCCCAGAAAATATTTTCTCAGATTCTTGAATCTTGAATCTTGAATCCAGAAAGTGTTAAAAAGCTTTTACAATTCTGGGATTCAAGATTCAAGATTCAAGATTCCCAGACTTGTGTTTCTCACATTCTTGAATCTTGAATCCCACAATTTGTTTTTAGAAAATAAAAATAGAAATGTCTGAGTTGTTCTTGTATTCTTGGATGCATTCAAACTCTTTCAGATTGCAGATGCTGATGTCATTGCTTTTATCACATCTGTATGCATGCATGCGTATCATATACATGTATGACCCCCCACATATAAAAAGGGGGTTTCCTTTCCCATTTGTTGGGTAACCTAAAAAAAGACGAGCCGCCCATTTCTGTGAGGCTGGATGCTGCCACTTCAGAGTTCTGCCGGGACTCGCGCTTGCAGCCCGGCACCCCAACACCTCGCGTTGGGTTGCTAGAGGACTCAATGGCCCATGTTTGTTTTGCTGAAGCCGCAGAACCGATGTGTTCCATTCGTTTCATGTCTCCCTTGTTAGCAAACAGGTTGGCAGTTGAGGCTAGCTTCCTGGATGGGGCAAAACACGACAGGATACCACTACAGGGTTTGTTGTGATGCAAAGACAACAAAGTTATCGCCGAGATAGGGAGATAAAAGCAAGCGCTGTGAGTCATAGCTGCCTGAATTTGCTGTTTCAAGCTTATGTGGATTTTGCGAGAGAGGCCCGAAGTGGTTTTGGGCGGGGTCGTATGCTGTAGGGGGAAGGTGTTGCTTGTTCTGAGACAGGCTTGAAAGTCTGCGTTCCACACTTCCGTGCACCCAAAAGCCTGGTGCTTGCATTGCAAAATTAGCTTCTTCTTTGAGTTTTCTGGCGGGTCCATTTTTTCCATGTGGGTGTGTCTTTTTGCTGAGGGTAGGAAAACCGAAGCCATCTTGGGGGTCCCCTAAAAGAAGGGGACGCCCAAGTCCCCTCGGAGAGGGTCGGGGCAGGGGTCACTGTCACCAGGAAGTTCCTGGATGTCTACCTGGACTGCGACTACGCGGAGAGCTGCCGGCCTGCTTTGTGCCAAGAATGGCATGGGTTCAAGAAGCCAAACTCGCCGAAAGGAACTGATGTTGGTTAGTCGTGAATTGCCCTGTCACTTGGGGGCATGATGAACGTTCCCCTTGCTCGAGCAACAGTCACGAAAACAAGATGGTACCGTCCACCCTTTGACAAGGAGTTGAGACCACTATCCAGCATACATCTTTAGTGAGAGCACCATAGTCGATATTGGCGCAACTTTGACGTTTAATGATATCAATCTGGTACCAGCTGCCTACTGTGACAGAGCCACATGCCTCTATCGGACGTGTTGATCAAAGGCCACTCCAGCATACGCCAATCCATGGCATTTCATGAAGTCTTCAGTTGGGCGGGTCGAAGAGTATATAAGCCCTCCGGCCCACCCTCCCACCCTTGCACTCCGCAGCTCTTATAAAGACGGTGTATCCTGATTTCTTGAGTTGTCTTTACCGGCTGGACGGAGTAGCGACCCGCGACGGGACCAGCCCGCACTCCTTGCGTGCGTTGAAGACGCAAAGGAGTTCGTCCAAGTGATTGGTCGCTGACTCGCTGACACAAAGCATATTGACCGCGTCCGAGCTGATTCCCAATGCGTGATCCAAACCTCGTTCCAGACACCCATACCAGAGAGAGAGAGAGTGAGAGAGGGAGAGAGAGCGAGAGAGGAAAGAGAGAGAGAGAGAGAGCTAGAGCGGAGAGAGATGGGGACAGAGGAGAGAGCGGGGAGAGAGGAGAGAGGGGAGACAGGAGAGAGGGGAGAGAGAGGAGAGAGGGGAGAGAGAGGAGACAGAGGAGAGAGGGGAGAGAGAGGAGAGAGAGGAGAGAGAGGACAGAGAGGAGAGAGAGGAGAGAGAGGAGAGAGAGGAGAGAGAGGAGAGAGAGGAGAGGAGTGAGAGAGAGAGGGAGAGGAGACAGAGCAGACCGAGGAACAGAGAGGAGAGCGGTTCAGCATCTCAGTTTTCCAGTGTTGCGCAGCAGTAGCATCAATTTTGCAAGCTTCGCAAACGGTCAGAGATTGTGAAAGCCAAGAACCACTTCACGCGCGCGAAGGCAGCCTTGACAAGCAATGCAGAACCAAGCACTGCGGGCCCTGCGCAGTCAACACTCCCCAAATCCTGTCAGGGCAAGAAAATCCACAACTTAGGCCATTGGGTAATCTAATGTCTTATTTCTTCAACTGCTTCTCTATACCGAGCCGTTTCATTGGCGCGAGAAATTTGCACCTTTGCTCAATGTGATATCTTTGATGTCTCCCAAAACAAACCCACAAGGAGACGGATGTCTTTTGCTTTTTCTTCCCAGCCCCTGGGGTTTTGATGCTTTTCGGCGCGTTTGATTTTGGGCCCTTCACTGCGGATGGGTTTCGCGGCCACCGCAACCGGCGCCATGGCAGGAGCTACCTGCGCTGGGCGGAGGATTCGGAGTGGCTGGAGGAGGCCTTTGTGTCGTGCGCCCGGAGGGATTCAACCTGAAGCCAAAGGGAGCCGACCCGCGACCACCCGGCTCCCAACTGCTTGGACGTACTTGGCTGTGGCGAATTCAAAAAACCGGAATATACCAAATGGCTTGCCCGATCGGTAAGTGGAAACATGGGTACCAAAACCTGCGGTTTGCCTCTTCTGTTTAATTTTGAGCCAATCCCACTTGTGAATTTGGAGATGGGAAGAAACAGTTGGTGGGGGCTGGTGGTAGTCCCTTTGAATTCTGGGGAAACGATTTGGGGATTTGGGGAGGGGAACGGATGGAAAGGATATGAAAGTGAATCCGCACAGGTTTGAAGTCAGTCTGCTTGTGCCTAGACTTTGGGGGCAGGGATCGGGGGTGAGCAATCTATCAGAGCACGTGCATGAGGTCTTAGGCGGGAGTTTGTGGATATTTGAAGAGCAATCATGTCTCTCCTTGCTAGTCCTGGTAAAGGCTTCCGGGCTCCTATCCTGGGTATCCCATCAGCCCTTTCCCGACCAATCTTCCTGTGGCAGCAACAGGGTGCTCGGAGAACCCTTTTGTCACCCCAATGGCTTTCATCGATACCTTGATCTAGTCTTATTGCCCTCGCCTCAGACCAAGTCCATGTGAGGAGGGCCCACAACCCTTTAAATGGGCCATGTTAGTGAAGACTTCTTAGATTTTGCCTTTTGCTGGTTGCAAGACCTTACTGCATAGCGTGCAGCAACCAATGGTTGGACGGAAAAAAAACATAGCGCCAAGGACGTACATCGGCGGCGAGATCAACTCCAAATACGAGTGGATGGCCACAAACCTCATCAGGCGCTAAGCTTTTTGAGGCCGTGTGCGTGTTAAACGCGTTTGCCCATGGTCAACGTGGGATCCCCGAACAAATCAGGTAGAGCAGTGTGGTTTGTGGGCCCCCCTTTTTTGAGCTCGACTTTGTCTTGCAATGTGATTCTGTGATATACAACTCAGTTGCCCAAAGCCGACCTTTTGACCTTTTGGTTTCTCCTTTTTGGTCTAGTTTTAGTCATGACCCCAAAAGGTTAACCTTTTATTTCTGGGTCCTTTGGGCAAGTGAGACAACCGAAGTGCCTGGCATGTCCGGAAATACGAGCAAGTCACTAAATTATTGAGAACAGAGCTCCTTTTTTGAAGCAGGCACTCTACTTCAGAGCATTTCTGGCTACGGGTCAGGTTGATCCACTTTTTGCTTGGGCGCTCATGTCTGCAAGGCAACGACAAAACGCATACTCTTGCACCCGTCACCTGAGCTATGGTCAACATTCAGCAGGTGTGCGCAACTTCAAGGAGGCATCTACAGACCCACCGTGGGGCAGATGCGAATCTGAATGGCAACAACTTCAACTAGTGGCCGATCCCCCATTTGGAGAAAAGAGAGTGCGTCCCAAATCCTTTGTGTAAATCAGCGGCCAACGACCTGGCAAACACACTTGCTTGCCGGCCATGCCCGAGCTAAGCAGTTGACCAGCGTTTGGTGGGCAAGTTGATTGAGAGAGGCCCAAGCTTCCCTATGAAAGCGCTACCGGAGTAGCCCTGTTTTCCACTTGCAGCATGTGGGCTGGCTACCCTTCATGGAATGCATCTCATTGGGAATTACGGCGTCGGTTTTTTGGTTAATGTATTCGGGCTGGGCAAACGACATATTTTCTGTTTAGGCCAACGAGTACAGAGGTTTGATAGCACAATTTTACTTTTCAGGCATAAATCTGTTTTCGGAATCAGCCCAGAGGTTCGAGCCAGCCAACCATCTCCATAGATCTTATGCACGCACACACACACACACACACACACACACACACACACACACACACACACACACACACACACACACACACACACACACACTTCATGATCTACAAAAGGCAACCCGAGCATGAAATGGTATGAGTTTGAGCGGGGAAGCCCTTTCAAACAACACCTTTGGACAAGAAAATCCATATATATAAATATAAATATATATATATATATTTATTTATATGGTCCCGTGTTCCGTGTTGCTACCCCCCCCCCCCCCCCAATATGGTATGGGTCCCCCGGGAGTTAGGAGAGGCCATGCGCAACTTTTTTCGGACTCAAAAGTCTAGGGTCCACCCTAGGATTTTTTGCATTTTTTGAATAAGCGCACCAAAACAGCCATTTTAAAACATTTTTTGAAACAGTCTAAACACATTTTGATAAATATTTTTTTAGTACTGCATACCAAAACAAAAATTGAATTATTTTTTGAAAAATTCAATACACCTAAACATGTTATTTTCAAAAACACACATTTTCCAAAATATTTTAGAAAATATATTTTTTTCAAAAGAGATAAATATATATATCATTTTAAGAAGAATTATTCAATAAGAAACAACATTTTCAATAATTCAATGAGAAGACAATAATTAATCATTTTTCAAAATTTGGATATTCCGGAGTTGCGCATGGCCCACCTTGTAGGATTTTATCTTCAATATATAAAACGCTATACTTACATTATAATTATAACATATAAGGGTATAAATGTTATAATCATAGTATGGTTATAATTTAAATTCAGGATAACTATTTAATTGATATATATTTCCTCTTTCATACATCATTTTAATAATACTATTAATATCTCTCACTGTATTTTTAACATTAAACTTTTCACTTTCAATAAATAATTTAATGTTTTTTTTACATCAACCCCTTCCATTTTATGATAAATCAATGCCCATAATATGTAGTCAATAATTTCATACTTTTTCTTACTGATTTTAAGAAATGCTTTAACATAATCATAAGGCGGTATTTCATACACAGTTAAAAATATCAAAATGTCATCTTCAACATTTCTTTCATTAAACCTTTTAATATCTAAATTATATTCGATTGCGTCTTGGTAATATCTCCATTTTTTACATGTTCTGCATATATTTTCTTTACCCAAAGAATAATCAACAATATTATTAACTATTCCATTAGGTAAATTTAATTTATATAATTCCATATTTTCCTCTTTGAAGTGGCAACAGTCATAGCATTTCTTATTGATATAATTATTGATTTCGGTTTCCGCCATTACACACTATATAATAATATATAGCTTTTATTTCTTTAAATACTTTTTTCCAAGAAATAGAATTAAATATTGAAATATAAGTATAACATATAATATTTTACATGTTATTATTATATTATGATTATAATTTCAGTACAGGATAATAATTTAATTGATTTGTCTTACTTCTTTCATACATCATTTTAAAAATAATATTAATATCTCTCAATGTATTTTGAACATTAAAATTTTTACTTTCAATAAATAATTTGATATTTTCTTTAACATCTTGTCCCTTCTCTTGACTATAACACAACATCCTTAATATATCATCAATCATACCATATTTTTTCTTAGGGATTTTAAGAAACTGTTTAACATAATCATAAGGCGGTATTTCATACACAGTTAAAAATATCAAAATGTCGTCTTCAACATTTCTATTATGTCTTCTTTTCAGATTTAAATGACATCTGATTAATTCTTGATTATCTCTCCATTCCTGACAAATTGTACATTCATCTTCTTCATCCATTGAATAATTAATAATATTATTCAATATTTTATTAGGTAAATTTAATTTATACAATTCCATATTTTCCCTTTTGAAGTGGCAACAGTTGTAGCATTTCTTATTGATATAATTATTGATTTCGGTTTCCACCATTTCTATTATAATATATATAGTTTTTATTTCTTTAAATACTTTTTTACAAGAAATATTAAAATATTATTTAAATTATTATCATTTACAACTACAATTGCATCTAACACAGTAAGGAATAATATTATTCAGTTCGTGTGACAACTCGTTTGATTTACGTTGCGCTGTCAGATTTGTCATTATATTACCGTTTTTAATATCCATAGAAAAACCGCATCCGCAGTAATTACATTGATTTGTGGTATTATTTAAAAACCATTGCGCATTTACATAACCTTCTTTAGGTATTGTTCTTTTGGCTTTCCTGTCTTGTTCTTTGTAATTTAATATTTTCCTTTCAAAATAACTCATAATACATTTTTGATTAAATACATCATCAATATCTTTCGTATATTTATAAAATTTGACTTTGTTTAAATCTCTACACCTTGTAATTGCAGTCCATATCCATTCTGGATAATTCTTTACCAAAAAATGGTTATAATCAAAAATTGTTATGGTATCATCAATGCTACTGCCTTGGGCAGAATGACAAGTCGAGCAATATGCAAATATAAAATTACTTCTTATTTTATCAACTGGCAAAGACTGTAGAATTTCAGTTTTAACATTTTTCAACGTAAATATTCCATCGCTTCCAATATGAACAATTTTATATTTGAAATTTACATTAAAAACTGATGTTTTAGTTGTTGTATATTCTCTACAAATTAAAAATTCTCCTACTTCATATTCATCTTTTCTATTTTCTAATTTTCTAATTTCATTTGATACATTTTTACAAGTTGTATTTAAAAATGCTATGTTGTTGATTGATTTGCTTATGTCAGTTGTATATTCAAAGTATTTTTCAATAACTTTCACAATAGGTAATCTATTTTCAAAAATATCAATTTTAATATTTCTTAGTTTATCTTTATCTTCCTGTGTGTGAAGTCGCTTACATTCTTTTAACAAAATATTATATTCAAAAATGTTATCTATAATGTTATCAGTATATACTTCATAGTCTCGAGTATTTGTTATCTCTTGAACTGGTTTTAACTGCTTGGTGTCTCCTGTTGCTATTATAATTTTGTTGTGCTTATTCTGTTCTACAAATTGTTTTATTCTCCAATATATATTTAAATTACTAAAATAAACTTCGTCAAATACTATAACATCAAAATCTGTAAAATCAAATGGTTCTAATTTAGCATCTCCATAATTAATACCGAAAAATTTATTTATTGTCATTGCTTCGCCTTCGAATGCCTGTAATAGTTTATTAGTAGGACAAATAAAAATTACATTATAATTTTTATCAACCATTTTTTGACATATATATGATTTTCCTGTGCCCGGTAGTGCTCCACGAATCATAATAGGATTATTTTGTTCAATAATTTCTATAATATTATCTGTGTCATATTCATCTACTATATCAATAGTTTTACTTTCATAAATTGGTATTTGTATTAATTCGTTTTGTGTAATTTCATAATCTACAGTAGGAAATTTAATATATTCGTCGTTTGAAATTCTCCATCCTCCTATTTCATTATTAAAGATTAAAAGCTCTCTTGCTTTTGTTATATCCGATCGCGCTATTGTAAACGCATCTGTTTTGACACTGAACACATTAATACCATTTTGATATAACTTAGAATAATCTTGATACATTCTAAAATTATGGTATTGAAGCAGTAGCTCTTTTACATACCTAAAACCATTCCTTAAGCGTGATGTGTCCTTTAAATTAAGTATATAATATGACGCCTGTTCTTCTTCTGCTGTATATTGTTCTTCATCTACTGTAATTTGTTCTGTCGTGAAATGTGTTAATTTATGTATTTTACCTCCATACTCTGCCTGATAGTTTAAAGCTTCCTTAAGATTTTTAAACACTGTGCTCTTCTGGTCAGTTGCTCCCCCCTTTTCTAAAAGTCCATAATTAACATTTGCGACCAGTTTTTTAATACATTTATCTTCCTCATTGTCTTCGCTAATGTTTGTGTTCCAAAGTTCATTAACAATATTTTTATGTTCAACTTTGTGAATAAATGAAGGTTGTTTAAAGTATAAAATATTAATTCGTTCTCTTGTCATGTTATCTAGTTGTTT